TTTTTTTTGGAAATTTTCGTTTTTCGAGTGCGACAGTTTTGCAGGGCCTAAGCTGGAACAGATGATGAAAGAATTGAGAGAAGAATTGCGAAATAAACCACCTGTAGTTGGTGCATATACTCCGCGAAGAGGAGACCTGTGTGTTGCACGATTTTCAGCTGATAAACTATGGTATCGTGCGCGCGTCGAAAGTATCCGTGGTAAAAACGTGGAAATTCTCTATGTTGATTTCGGAAACGTATGTTTCTTTGCAAATATTCGGAAAAATGCACAGAATTTTTACTTTCTTTTAAAGACTGAAAAAATTAAGAATTGATTTAAGGCACAGGCTTTGTCTGCGAATAAAATTTTGACATATGTGATACTGTGGTGAATTTTTGCCAAACTGAAATATTAGAATATATTATTTGAATGTCATTCAGCCATGCTTTTCATCCGTTTGTTGTCCCTCCTGGCAGGGGCTCTGTTGAGGAAGTGCTAGTTTTTCAAAATCGTTGACTACATTTTAACTGCAAATAATGTTTTCAGAGAGAAACAGTTGATGCTACTTCGCTGGCTGTTCTGCCGGCTGGATTTGCCGCACAGCCGGCTGGTGCGCGTGAATATCAGTTGGCTTTCCTGCAAATGCCCAGTGACCCGGATTATGCGAGCAGCACCGATGCGGCATTTGAGCAACTCCTCTACTCCACTCCGTTCATGTTCATTAACACCGAATATCGCAACCAGGGCGTGGAGTATATCTCAGCAGTTATGGAAACAGCGGATGGTAGTGGGCGATCAGACGTTGCGAAAATGCTGATTGCTGAAGGGCATGCATTAACGGAGCAGAGACGAGAGAAGAAATTTGCCGCACTGGTAAGCGTCTTTACCGCAGTCCTAGTATGGTGAGCTGCACTTAAAAACCTTCGAGATACTAACCATGCAGCATCGAATGTGACGAAATGCACTCATACCAAATTTCACTTTCGATAGCAAGATCAAGACAAATTGCGAGAAGTCCCTCTCGAATGACGCAAACTAATTCCTGTGACAGCTTTTGTACAGCGTAGTCAGAAATTCTGACACTCGATGTAATGGAGGAGTCGAGCGAAGCACTAAAAAAAAAGTTGTCCCTTTCTGTGGAGCTCCGAAGGACTACGATCCCGCCGTACATTTATCACCGTATCGCATGCAAAGTTTGATCAGTGTTTACAGCTAAGGAATGAAACACAGGCTGCATCGTTAAGTTTCTTCTTGCACATGATACTTAAGTCCAGTTCCTCTATTCTTCTATTCCATCCGATGTATGGGACGACAGATGGTTTGATTAAATTGGCATAATCTAATCCGTTCTTTCGTTATTGCTTTTAATGAATTGCTACAGTTTGATGAAGTCATTTTAATAATGTTTGATTCTGTGCGTTACAGATTGCGGAGTATCAGGAAGCGGAAGCGGTAGCGCGTCGCGAGCATCGCAATATTTGGGAATATGGCGATTTTACTGGAAATGAATTATAGACAGTGGCAATGAATTTGCTTCAAAAATTTTGCTTAATCCCGCGAATTTTAAATGTCTCGCCGTTAATGCAGAGTTTTTTCTTTATTCGGTTCATTAGGATTAAA